AAAAAACCACAGAATGGGCGCCTCCGATTTAAATAACACTTGAAGAAGTATTTGCTTTTTCTCTAAACGATTTGCTTCTTCCTTAGGCAGGTGTTCTCTGTCTCTGGGATGAAATGTGGAGAGGTGGTTATAAGGCCACCTTTCTATCTTGATTCGTTTTTTATTATTAAAAGGAAAGAAGGAGGAGGCACTTGGTGTGAGATCTTGACACTATTGAGAAAAAAGGATACCTAGGATGCGTCCTCACTGCAGGAATAACCCGGTTTGACACCACTTTAACTGGCCTGACTCAAGACTAGGGAATTCTGGAGAGTGTATTATAATGTCACCTTTTTATTGTTACTATTATTTGTATTGAAAGGAAAGAAGGAGGAGACACTTGATGTGAGATCTTGACACTATTGAGAAGAAGGGATATCTGGGATGCGTCCTCACTGCAGGAATAACCCGGTTTGACACCACTTTAACTGACCTGGATCAAGACTATGGGAATTCTGGGGAGTGTATTATAATGTCCCCTTTCTATTATTATTATTTTATTGAAAGGTAAGAGGGAGGAGACACTTGGTGTGAGATCTTGACACTGGTTCAAAAGACACTGCAGAAATAATCCAGTTTGAGACCGCTTTAACTGCCCTGGTTCAGTGCTAGGGAATCCTGGGAACTGTAGTTTTTTGTGGCACCAGAGCTCTCTGACAGAAAAGGCTCAATGTCTCACAAAACTACAATTCCCAGAATTCCTTATTTCTGCAGAATAAGATGAATAGATTTTATATGGATCTAATATGGATTATTTCTGCAGTGTGTTTTGGGACATTGAGAAGAAGAGACATCTGGGATGCGTCCTCACTGCAGGAATAACCCGGTTTGACACCACTTTAACTGCCTTGACTCAAGACTAGGGAATTCTGGGGAGTGTATTATAATGTCCCCTTTCTATTATTATTATTTTTTATTGAAAGGAAAGAAGGAAGAGACACTTGGTGTGAGATCTTGACACTGGTTCAAAACACACTGCAGAAATAATCCAGTTTGAGGCCGCTTTAACTGCCCTGGCAGTAGAGTCAAACCGGGTTATTCTTGCAGTGCGGATGCAGCTTTCCAGCTCTGAAGCTTTTCAAATTGCTAAGAAAAAGTGCAAATTCAGTCCACTTTTAGTGTTAGGGTTAGGGTTAGGGTTAGGGAATCATGGGAACTGTAGTTTATTGTGGCACTAGAGCTCTCTGACAGAGAAGAAAAAAACCAATTCCCATAATTCCTTAGCCCTAACCCTAACCCTAAAAGTGGACTGAATTTGCACTATTTCTGGCAGTCTGCAACCCCCATAACTCTGTACAGGAGGGCTTCTTTAATCCGAATGCCTTTGACATTTGCAAACTGGGTGTTGGTATTGTTGTTTTGTGCTGTGCAAATCGCTTTGCTTCTCTTTGCTTTTCTCTAAAAAGACCGATCCAAAACGAGTGCAAGACAATCCGATTGGACTTTAGGTCCTCTCCAGCTAAAGGTTGTTCTTGTTTTCCGACTGAGAAGGCTTCCTTGCATTGAAATGCGCTTGGCGTCAGGGCAGGAGGCTCCGAAGTCAAGGCACATTTTGGATGGAGTTGCTGTCCTAAACCCAATCCGGTTTAAAACCAGAAAGGAGGAGGTGAAGGGAGCAGGGAAACTGGATTGTACAATTGGGAAAAAAAGAGTGGTGTCGGAAAAACAGCTCCTTATTTGGACCCCAATCCAAGTGATTCTCATAATATATCATCTTCATAACATATCATCTGGAATCATTGTTCATTGTTAG